TATATATATATGTATATGTATATTTAGGTATTTTAAAATATTTTAAAATTATCTATACTTTAAATCCTCGTGTTGGGAGATCCACTACGCATGAAATTTTAAACATAGAGTCTAGATATGAAGAGCAATCATGGGGGAGTGGATTAGTGGGTGATTGAGTTCTAATCATCCAGTTAGTTTAGGCTCTCCTAGATCTAAGGACATGAGATGTTTATTTTGTTTATGTGTTCCCCCGGGTTAGATAAAACATCACTCTTAACTCCTACAACGTAGCGACACCCTAAGGACAATAATTAATGACCCGTCTAGCGAACTTAGAAGCTTTCTATGAGCTAGGATAGATCCCGAATTGACATGAAAACTTCAACACTTAAATTTAGTGACATCTAAAACATCCCAGAATTTTCTAGAAATTTTTAGGAGTCCTTAGACCCCTTAATTAACCAACCTTAATTAACCCGCTAAATAAGACCCCGAGACCTTCCAAAAATTATAATAAATACATTTTTGGTCATAAAATTACCTATAATAATATTTTTTTCTCAAGCAAAGCCTAGCAGTAGAAAAGACATCCACATACACATTATCCCTTAGCCATACACAACTGATGAACACTCTTTAACAAAAGGTATGCAAGCTTCAAATTTTCTAAACGATAAATCAAATACAATGCAGTTTATCTGCAGCAGCAGAACTTACAAGATTTGCTTGAGAAGAACAAAGAGCAATCAATTTGTTTATTCAAAAACAAAATATGATTCTCATAATCCAGACGTCAAAAGCTAAGAAGAGGTCTTGGTGGATAGCCATGGCTGGTATCGGGTCCAGTCCCTCTGGCCTGGGTTGAGGGCATGGCCCTTGGAATGGTAGATATACTCATCTCCCTCACCAGAGAAATTTTCCTTGTGCTCCACTCCATACCTTTTGGGTTTCAGCATCAAAAGCTTTCAAAAGAAAGATTCAGATTAGAATATCAAACCAAATTTCACTAGTGTGTGCATGTATTTTCATTATCACACAGAAAGTAAATTTTCTCGGGTCAATTCTTTCTCCATCTTTTACTAAGAAGGCTACATGCATACATATTTCTCTTTATCAACAAATATTGTAATGACTGACATATATAAAAGAGATTGGGGATAAAATGAAACACCTCAAGAAGCTTTTGAATTGGACGGCTCCAATTTTTTGTAAAGATGGTTGTAAAATTATTAAAGTAAAGTAATTTTTTGTAAAGCTGATGTAAAAGACAGTTTCCTAATACAATTTTTTTTTTAAAAGCAACGAAAAAGTAGCAGACATAAAAATTGTGATTGTGATTTGAAAAATAAAACAGTAAAAAAGTTATCCCAAACGGAGCCTAAATCTCTCCTAAAGAGATTTCATCTGCATCAAGTTCTTGGGTTGTTACCATTCTAGAATTACAATTAAAGATCGTGAGAGCAAAGATAGTGCTAGTAAGAAGAAAATGAAGATGATTCTAAATTTTAAAAACATTTTTCCTTTCGAACTACTCGATGAGAAAAGCAGTAAAATTTCTATTAATCTTTATTACATGCTTCTTGGATTCAATTAGTCTATAAGGCCTTTAAAAAATGATAAAGAAATACAAGGACACGATCTAACTGCAGATTCAGCACTTGTCATGCCTGTTCAGTCAAAAACTCCTTGCCTCAAGAACAACAGGAGAAATTATTCTGTGTGGACGACGAACGCAGCTCTACATCCGAAGATCAACCAGAATGAGCCACGTCAGTAATACCGAGTGCGGTACCGAGCACTATCGAGCCACGGTACCGATGTGGCTCATTCTGATTGGTCTCCAGATAGAGTTCGGTGTCTGCACAGAATAATTTCTTCAAGAATAGGGCTGTTCAACCCAATTCAATCTCAAGACTAATATATATACATATATTAATTACAAAATATATTGCTAAAACTCACGATCTTAGAGAAATACCTCTCTGTTAACTAATGGGCCATAGGACTTTTCACAATAATATTCATTAAGAATTGCTTCCTTTCACTTCAATCTGACACTAGAATGAAGAAAAAAAATGTCAGCGAGAATCCTACCTCATCGCCAGTATGGTCAGTAATGAAGTGCAGCCAGCCGTGCCATTCAGGCGGCACCTGAGATGCATTATACCTGCTTTTTTGAGCATACTCCACCCACCTGTGCCTTCCTGTAAAGAAATTCATAAAGCTCAAGCTCTCAGCATTTCCTGTTACAAATACCTTAGCAAAATCTTAAGATCACTTCACGCATCATCGACAAATCAAGAGAAACTATAAAATTGCAGCAACAGCAGGCAATAAATTGATGCACAATTGTCGCTGAAAGTCATTAAGCACCGAAATTAATCATTGATTTGCTTTTCTGAGCAATACAACAGGTTAGAATTTACATAGGAGGCCTGAACCTATCAATATACAGATAAGCATCATTAAAGCAATTAAAGAAAAGAAAATTGAGTTGTGTGAATTGAATTCAGGAATACAATTAGGTTTTTAAGTACTACTTTTCCAGAAGCACAGAAACAAATGATAGAATAGAATGCACATACCATATTGGGTATCATCCAGTCTTTGATAATACTTATTTCCAAATTTATCAACTCCGATAAGAGTAGCTCCTATATTGTGAATTTTAGTTTGCCTGAAATACATTAATAGAATCATAACAAATCACATAACTGCAGAATCAGAAATATAATCCAAAAAGAACATCAAATGATCTATATACTAGACAGAAAGAAAAGATATAAAAAATTGGAATTCTCATGCACTGCTCTAAGGAAAACATTATCGAACAACCATAAAAGTACATGAAGAAGAGGAACTAAACTCGATAAAGATTTCTTTTTTTTGTTGTTGTCGTTTCTCCTCATTCAAGAACTGTAACTGAACACAGGAGAAAGAATAGGATGAAATGATGGGAGTTAAATCTAATAGAGAGTTTAATCATGGCTCAGGATGAATGCAGATGGCATGCTTGAACATAAAAGGTGGGCGTAAAGTGATAATAAAGTATTTGGGTATTGCATCCATAGAATCCATAGATAAGACAATTTCTCAATTCATTCTTATGAGCATTGGTATGAAATTAATAACCATTCTCACTTGATTTCAATAGTAAAAATCCTTTGAAAACATTGCAGTTAAGGAAATAAGAACAACACTTATTCATGTTGTAAATGACCATTGAAAAGTCAATTTAACACTTGTTTAGTTGAAGGGGTTTTGAGCATACTGAATAAATTGCCTAGAAAAATAAAGCAAAATATTATTAGGAATTTGAAATTCATCTTTAATTTATTTTTGGTGTATTATGAAACTGCCCGAACCCATAACCTGCCCTAGCGGGCTCCTGTTATGTTCTTCTTATCCTTCACATGTCGTTGATCTTGTCAATCATTTACCCTAAGCAAGCTCCCCTAACAATCACTACTCACTCAAATGCTACTAATCCCGTCAACACCTCCCTCTAGTGAGCTCCTATAGCATTATTCATCTTATCCTTCACACATCGTTGATCCCCGTAAAAGCTTACCCCAAATGAGCTCCCGTCGCAACCAAAGCCCTCTGATTACCAAAGCCGCAGGCGCTCGCGTAAAGCCCTCTATAACTGCAAGAAGCTTGAATGGCGCAAGTACCGCCTTGATGACCTAAGTTAGTTTTTTATTTTTAATTTTCATTTTAATTTGTTCCAACTAAAAATAAAAAAAAATGATCTACTATATTCAAATACATTACATTTAATTTACATTATATTTAGAAATAACCTAAATATTGCAAAGAGCTCCTAATAAATTTCTCACACCAAAACCAAAAGTCACGTAGCGCGTAGATTGGAAGGCCTAATATATAATGTTCGATTGGATCAGTTTTTTAAAACACAAATGAATAAGGTTAAGTCTACCTTAAAAAAAAGACATAATCGGCTAAAAGAAGTTCCTGCCAACGCAGGCTTTGAGAAAAAATAAGAAGTATTTATTCAGCTGCAAGAAGTCTTCAGCAACACAGGCTTTGAGAAAAGATTCATGTAAGCATCCTTAACACTACAATGCAAAGAGATTATTTCCATGACTCGAACTCATAACCACGCAACGGATGTGACTTACCAGAGCTTCAGGACTAGGCCTCTATTCTTAACAAGGGTATCTGATCAAGGACCAAAAAGATGATTGAGAAAACAATAAATGAGATATTTTTTAATATTATTCACCAAGGTGTACGAATCTTGAACATTTTATGAAACATCATAGATGTAATTAAGCTTCTGCACTCAAAGGATCCTTACAGTACAATCACCAAAGATGCTCACTGCACAAGCACCAACTACAAAACTAAAGTGTTATTAGCGTAGGAACTCACAGTAGATTTCCATCAAAAATGCAGTTCCTGCAAAAGGAAAAATCAAATAATTAAAAAAGTTTCTACCCAACAAATAAAAAAGTTGACAAACAATAACAACAATTACCACTAATGACTAAACAATAAAGAAAAGAAAATTGAGTTGTGTGAATTGAATTCAGGAATACAATTATATTTTTAAGTACTACTTTTCCAGAAGCATAGAAACAAATGATAGAATAGAATGCACATACCATATTGGGTATCATCCAGTCTCTGATAATACTTATTTCCAAATTTATCAACTCCGACAAGAGTAGCTCCTATATTGTGAATTTTAGTTTGCCTGAAATACATTAATAGAATCAGGGCATCAAATGATCTTTATATGTCATACCGCCAGGTTACTGAAAGAAAAGATATAAAAAATTGGAATTCTCATGCACTGCTCTGAGGAAAACATTATCGAACAACCATAAAACTACATGAAGAAGAGGAGCTAAACTCGATAAAGATTTCTGTTTTTGTTGTCGTTTCTTGAGTTGAAAACCTCATTCAAGAACTGTAACTGACCACAGGAGAAAGAATAGGATGGGATGATGGGAGTTAAATCTCATAGAGAGTTCAATCATGGCTCAGGATGAATGCACATGGCATGCTTGAACATACAAGGTGGGCGTAAAGTGATAATAAAGTATTTGGGTATTGCATCCATATAATCAATACATAAGACAATTTCTCAATTGATTCTTATGAGCATTGGCATGAAACTAATAACCATTCTCACTTGATTCCAATAGTAAAAATCCTTTGAAAACATTGCAGCTAAGGAAATAAGAACAACACTTATTCATGTTGTAAATGACCATTGAAAAGTCAATTTAACAGTTTAGTTGAAGGGGTTTTGAGCATACTGCATAAAGTTGCTTGAAAAATAAAGCAAAATATTGTTAGGAATTTGAAATTCATCTTTAATTTATTTTTGATGTATTATGAAACCGCCCGAACCCATGACTTGCCCTAGCGGGCAATTGTCATATTCTTCTTATCCTTCACATGTTGCTGATGCAGTCAATCATTTACACCAAGCAAGCTCCCCTAACAATCACTTCTCCCTCACATGCTACTAATCCCGTCAACACCTCCCTCTAGTGAGCTCCTCTAGCGTTATTCATCATATCCTTCACAAGTCGTTGATCCCCGTCAAAGCTTACCCCCAATGAGCTCCCATCGCAACCGAAGCCCTCTGACAAACAAATCCGTAGTAGCTCGCATAAAGCCCTCTAACCGCAAGAAGCTTGAATGGCGCAAGTACTACCTTGATGACCTAGGTTAGTTTTTAATTTTTTTCAACTAAAAAAAAAAAAAAATGTACTAGATTTCAAATACATTACATATAATTTACATTATATTTAGAATAACCTAATATTGCAAAGAGCTCCTAATTAGTTTCTCACACCAAAACTAAAAGTCATGTAGCACATAGACTGGAAGGCCTAATATATAATGTTCGATTGGATCAGTTTTTAAAAACACAAATGAATAAGATTAAGTCTACCTAAAAAAACGACATAATCGGCTAAAAGAAGTTCCCGTCAATGCAGGCTTTGAGAAAAAATAAGAAGGATTTAATCAGCTGCAAGAAGTCCCCAGCAACACAGGCTTTGAGAAAAGATTCCTGTAAGCATCCTTAACACTACAATGCAAAGAGATTATTTTAATGACTCGAACTCATAACCTCACAACGGATGCAACTTACCAGAGCTTCAGGACTAGCCCTCTATTCTTATCAATGCTATCTGGTCAAGGACCAAAAAGAAGATTGAGAAAACAATAAATGAAATATTTTTTAATATTATTCACCAAGGTGTACGAATCTTGAACATTTTATGAAACATCATAGGTGTACTTAAGCTTCAGTACCCAAAGGATCCTTACAAATCACCAAAGATGCCCACTGTACAAGCACCAACAACAAAACTAAAGTGTTATTAGCGTAGGAACTCACAGTAGATTTCCATCAAAAATGCAGTTCCTGCAAAAGGAAAAATCAAATAATTAAAAAAGTTTCTACCCAACAAATAAAAAAGTTGACAAACAATAACAACAATTACCACTAATGACTAAACAATCAGAATAGAATGCCAAATTTCTTTAGAGTTACTCTAGAATCAGAAAGAATAATGTTCACGAATATAGAAAGATATGTACCCAATGATGATCTCTGATGCAAATCTATAGTAATTGATAACTCTTGAATTACCGCACAACTACTTCTAATCCCAGTCAGTGCTCCAATATACATCTCTTTAATAACATTAATATACATTTAACACAAACATTTATACTTTGAAGTATATTAAATTAACTATCGTAGTATATGCTTTCTCAAGATCAATAAAAATCATATGAAAATTATTTCTTTATCCTCCACACTTCTCCATTAATTTTTAAAACCAAAGATTTGCTTTCATAATAGATATCCCTGCCATGAAACCAAATCGATTCTTTAAAATTGATTTAATATTATTAAGTCTATGGTCTGTTACTCTCTCTCATAGCTCAATCATATGACTTATAAGCTTTTATAGTTAGTCGAATCTTCAAATCACCTTTGTTCTTAAATATTTATACCAAAATGCTTCTTACCCAATCATTTGGCAATCTCTTAATTTTTCAAGATCTATTAAAATGTTTGTTAATTAAAGCATTGCGATATGCCACATAACTCGCCAAATTATAATAAGCACCTAATTTGAACTTGCATTACATTTATACATCTTTCCAAATCTAATTCCACTTCACTTTTTACATAAATCTATAATATAATTCATTATATTGTTTATTATGATCTTCAAAATAACTTTTGACTCCAAAGCTATTATTTAGCAATTTCTCAAAGTAAAATTTTCATTTTTTTTTTAATGTTTTCTTCTTTAATCAGGAACTTGCTATTGTCACTTTTCATGCATTTAATTCGATCAAAATCTTCATATCTCTTAATTCATACCTTAAGTATTTTATATCACTCAGTTTTTCCTTCCCTAGTGCTAAGCTTATCACAAAAATCATTAAAATAATAGTTTATGTTTTACGCACAACTCTCTTTGCAAGACTTCTAACTTTTTTCTAATCATTATAGAGGTCAACCTTAGAGTCTAAAGGTTAAAGGTTTTCGTTTGAGTAGATTTAAAACCGAATATATGAAGTGTAATTTTAGTAGTAATAGATCTAATGGGAGGATTGTGACTTTGGGTATTAAGTCATTAATAAGAGTACATATTTTACATATCTCAGATCTATTGTCAAAGTGATGGTGAAATAGATTGATATATTATTAGTAGAATTCAAGTTGGATGGTTGAAGTGGAGGAATGCATCGGGCCTATTATGTGATAGAATGTGTAATGATTTATGGAGAATTCTATAAGATGGTTGTGAGACCTACAATGCTTTATGGCGCAAAATGTTGGCCATTGAAAAAGAAACATGCAATCAAGTGTTGCAAAGATGAGGATGCTCAGGTGGATGAGTGGCTTTACTCTCAAAGATAGAATGTGAAACGAGCATATACATGATAAGGTTGAAGTAGCACCAGTGTCATATAAGATTAGAGAGAGTCACCTTAGATGATTTGGTCACATAAAATGTCGGCCTTCTGATGACCCGATTAGGATAGTAGATGTATTAAATTTGACCTATATTAAAAGAGGTAGAGACAAAACTAAAAAAACTTGGTCAGGAATTATTAAAAATGGCCTTTTCTATTAGATTTAAATGAGAATTTTTTACTCTTAACAAGACACAATGGAGAAAAAAGATTCATGCGGCTAACTCCATGAAGTGGGATAAAGACTTGATGTTATTGTTGTTGTTATTATAAGCTTCAATGGTATTCAATTGTTTCCAATAAAAGCACATTTAATTTCCATAATAACCTATTGAACCTCCTCACTCCACCACCAAATTTTGTTATAAGCGTATAATCTATTTCTAGAGTTTCCAAAAACTCCTACAACAATCCTCGTAAAAAAGGTCCTCTAATCTCACATTAAAAATTATAAAATAACTTATTGATAAGTTCACACCTTTCAAATCCAAACACCTTATCCTAGGGCTTGCTATTATTAATTTTTGAATGTTTTCATTATACTTTTAGGTTATAAAACTGCTGCAACACAGAACCTACCGTCCAAATAACAAGGAGCAAATGCCCATCCCGAGAAATTTTTGACCATATATGTTTCTTTCAATCCAAAATAAAATATTTTATTTAAGAAACGGAAGCCAAGGATCTTTGATTTCTTCCATCGGGATCACAAAGTAATGGTTCAGGACTTAATTTGAAATAAATCGAAGCATAAAAACAGACATTTATGAATCAAAAGGAGTGGAAAGACTCACAAATAGCCCTCTTCTTTAAGATCTTTGGCGAAATTGACGATGCCCTTCTCTTTGATCGCTTTGAGGACGCCCCTCACGACCGAAGCCATTTCTCCTTCCTTCCTTCACTTTGATCGCCTTGAGAACGCTCCTTAGGGCTTGATGGAGTCTACTTTCAGCGTGGTTACAGAATCAATTGAGAAACAGACATCCTGACTCAATGATTTTAAAAATTAATATCTGATTTATTTATATCCTAATTTATAAATATAAAAATTCTGAATTTTTTTTCAGACTGAAGATTATTTTAAATGTATTCTGATTTTTTTTTTTTTATGTGCCTTGTAAATCATAGAAGCCCATTTATGCTTGTTGCGTGCCAGATTTTGTACAATGCTAAGACATTAGTGATGGTAGAGAAATATAAAGTTTAATGTCTTAACGTTGTATGAAAATCCGACACGCAACAATGCTACTTCAGTAGAAATCTACTAATACTTATAATTTATAAATAAATAATATACTCTTTATTTAAAAGAATAATATCACTTGTACGAATAGAAAATTTATATTAGGATAGTGTGAATGTGTGATGCAAATTATATATGTTAAGTTTTAAAAGATCTATATTTGCATTCTAATTAATATAATTTAAGATGTCACATACAATACTTCTTAGTGTAAGATTTCGTTTGGGGCGTCTTTTTTGTTGCTTCTTAAAATAACTTTTTAGTATCAAAATTTTAAATTTTATACTAAAAGCAAAATTTTTGACATGCACATTATTAAATGGTTTTGTAGTACTAGTTGTATTATCATAGGCAATTCCATAATGCATCGATATTTTTCATATTTCTAATCATTAAAAAAAATATTTTAATTGATATAAATAATATCTAAGATGTCTATATTATTGGATCCAAATTTATTCATTGTTAATAACTAACTTCACCAGCAAGTCAATTTGGTTAGCTAAAACTTGTGTGTAAGAATAAAGAATCCAAAGAGTGTGAGTGAGGAAAAAGAGCTACATATCTCAAATTGGCAGAGTATCCACTATCAGTAAAAGAGAAATTTTAGTCCCCTGATTTTTCCTCATCATCCTTTATTCATAAGATTTTGAGAGCTACAGGAAATGCTATACAGAAAAAAAAAATTACAAGCTAATCTAAATATGTATCGCCTCTTAATGAGCTGGAGGAGGATGAAGTTAATGAACCCTTGGATGAGCTAATGGTAGCGAGTTAGCTCCGAGTAAGTCTGTGAGTAAGCCCTTACAAGGGGTTAGGTGTGGTCGATAAATTGTGTAGGAGATCGCTTGCAGTCTTGAGGAGAAAGTCTAGTGAGACATGGCAGGCATGGAGAGGTTTAGGTCAGATAGCAGTAATTGAATGATGTGAGAAGTTCTCTAAATAAGCACTCCATGTAGTTGTGTTGGACGAGTTTGAAAGTTCTAGGTAGAGAGCTAGCGAATGAGATAGTGGCAAGTGATGGTTTGATTACGAATCTTTGATTTTTCTTGTGCGGATTATATTCCTTAGTAGACTCAGGCAAGCAAAGCCTATTGATCTCCACTGTCGAGTCCCTCTTAATAGTTACAAGCAAGTTCTTTAAAGAAATTACGTTTGAGGGCAAGTATATTCATCATGGCTCGACAGCTACTTGTTAAAAACTTCTGAATGCATTTATATTTATACATATATGATGCTTACAAAACATTTGTTTGAAATTACAGATAGAGGTCTTTAAATCAACACTTATTCAATGCCAAATGTTTAAGTGACTAGAGGATTTTTTAGGTCGTCGTTAAAAGTAATGTTAGAATGCCCAAAATTATAAAGTTTCTGAAAGAGTTTGGTTGAAGTCTAAGACACAAAGAAAATTTCCAAACAAGGCAAAACAAACTGTGTCTATAGTTCTAATATAAAACGAACTTATTAAATTCCCCACATCACATTTGTAATATGCATTAGATCTATTAAAAGATCTTCTTGTCAAAAACTCCTTTTTAGGTCATTTTATGGGTTAGTAACATACTATCAAGCACAAAAAAGTTAAGTTTTTTTTTTTTATGGGATTGGCCACACATAGACTACAATATGCATGCTAATATAATCAACCTATTTTGATATATTTGCTTGGATAAATCCTATTTTTGACTATATGGTGGTTCAATTCTTCATCGACTCGATCGATTGAATGTGCTTGATGTGGATATGCTCCTATGAGGCTAAGATCTTTTATTAAAACTAAAGTCTCATTTTAAAGTATTTATTTATTTTATAAAAATTGTGATAGTAATGATAGAATGAACATGTCTCATTCATGTTTATACACATTGTTATAACAAAAAAAACATTAAGGGATTAGATTCATAAATTATTCAACCATTTTTATTAATAATCCAATAAATACACATTTTTTAGAGAAGCTAAAAAATAATTTCTACATGAGATTGCATACTAAGAGAATTACTATGTTAACTTTTAGTTAAATGAGGTAGAGATTTACTTCCATATACAAATAATGTAATGTTGATCTTCTCCTCATTAAAATGATCCAAAGTTGTCTCCTAAGTCCGAGAGAAGAAGGAATGTGAATAATGAAGTATGTGTTTTACCTATAAAGTTGCCATGAAAAAACTAAGTAATTCCTAATTATGAATTTACCTGGTAGGCAAACGTGAAACGATGTGCCAATAAATGGCTCGATATGACAAATCAATGCGGATCTTATTTGAAAATTTTAGGTTTGAATTCATTTGATTAAATTGAGGTGAGTTCATGTCTGAAATCTAGCCCCAATCAAATACAAGTTTACCTAAAAAGTTGAAATCAAATCGATTATCATTCGGGTTCAAATTAAACGTGTCAAGTCTAGATTAATTAGGCTATGTCCGTGTTAATTTAGTTGTGTTTGGGTTAATAAGGTTGTGCTTATCTAAAAATTTTATGATCAGTTTAATAAACATGTTAAATGGGTCAAGTTCGGATAATGTTAAATATGTTGACTCGTATACAAACCAAATGAGTTTAGATAAAATAAATTCAATTCGGGTCAACTTAAACAAGCTCGATGGTGCCATAATGAATTATTATTTAAAGAGTACATATTCATAGCCTAAATTAAAAACTTTTATTGTAATTAAGAGTGCTTCAATTATTAAAAACTCTTATTATAAATTACTAAGGCAACAGTCCTCATAAACTTTTAAAAATTTATTGTGCATACAAGGTGGATATACAGACACTTCATAGAATTTTTATATATTTATACATCTACCTCCTAAATCTTTTTATCTTTATTTACATAACACCCAAATTCTTAAATTACGTAAAAAATACTACTAATATTCACTTCTTTAAAATAGAATATATTAGAGGTGTAAGTGAGCAAGTCAACTCCGTGCTAGGTCAAATTTAACTAATTAATCAGCTCAAGATCTATCGAGACACGAGTTCAAGCTTGAGTCTAACTTGAGCTCAGCTTGGCTCAGCTCGTAGCTTGTTGACCTACTCGTTTAAATTAAAATATATTTAAAATTTTTAAGAATAATATAATGAAGTGTATACTAAACATTTTAAATTATTTATCGAGTCAATGTCGAGCTTAATAATTTTGGAACTAGCTAAATTAGAGTTCAATAATAATTAAACGAGCTTTGCATGATTAGACATATAATCGACTTGACTCAACTCATTTACACCCTAAAATACATAATTTTATGCTTATATTTTAATATAAAAGACACACTAAAGTCTTATATAAATAAATATAAAAATTTAAATATTGAAATATATAAATCCATACTAATGATGTGATATTTATTTAAACCCCATATATATTAATAACATTTATTATATCATAATTATTTGTACATACTTTTTTTTATGTTCAGCAAAATGTTGAAAAGAGAGAGACCATTAATTGCATATAAATTAATGTTTAAGAGTGAATGGTGACGGCATGCACGTTGGACCAAATATATGGTCATCAGGTTGGACACCGTTGGCCAGACAAGACTGCTTGTAATAAAAGCAAACTATGGAGACAAAGTAGACAATAATCTTAGTTCTCATCGAAAAAGATATATCAGGATGAGCTTTGTAGTCGTTGCATTAGCTTTGAGATTAGTGTAATTCAAGATATTATCATTTATTGTATCAAAATATGTTAATATAATTTTTTTTTCTTTCTCGTATGTTTGAGACATTTCAGCAATTTTTAATCAAAAGCAAATTGTATGATGAGAGTGACGACAAATGGTACGATAATACTTTATTTGATGATAATTAAATTTTGATTAGAATACCTTTTATGCTATTTGGAGTTACAATAGTTTGGGAAGGTAGGTGAAGGTTTGGCGATGGTCGGACAGAGGTCCGGCGGTGTCTGGGCGGAAGTCCGGCGGCGGTTGATGGTCAGGTGGTAGTCCGGTAGTGGTAATTGGCAGCCGGACATTGGTCCGACTATGGTTGGGTAGAAGTCCAGTGATGGACAAGTGGAAGTTCAACGACGGTGGATGGTCGGGTGGTGGTCCGACGATGGTTGAGTGGAAGTCTAATGGTTGTTAGCAACCCGGTGGAAGTCCGATGACGGTTGGCGGCCGGGTGGCGATCTGAAGATGGTTGAGCAAAAGTTTGGTGCAAGTCGGTGGCCTGGTGGTAATTTGGCTGCAGTCGGCGGCCTAGCGGTGGTCTGACAATGGTCGGGCGGAAGTCCAGTGGTGATCGCCGGCCAGGCGGTGCTCCGACTATGGTCAACGGAGGTTTGCCAGCGGTGGTGTTGGAGCTCTTGAAGTCTCGGAGCTCTATCCAATCTCTAGCTAACTCATGTATAGAGTAAGAGTCTATTTATAGAATTTTGTAAGTGACACACCTCGTAAATATGGAAAAGATCTAGGGTATGTTTGGAGTGTTCCAACGAATGACATGTATTGCTTCCCTTGATCATAAAGCATTTTTCAGTGTTTAAGTGCCTGAACAATATCAAAATTCTACGATCTTGATCTCGTTGGATTCGTCTTGCCATGCCACTTGATTCGACTATAAGCATGCCATATTTTGATATAATTTTGTCATCTAATTAATGCTTTGAACATTCCAAATAAGCTTTGAACTCTTGATTCAGACCCATTCGGGCTCAGATCAAGCCAATTTTAGTGTTATTGGGTTCGTCTCTTTGAGATGTTCACTTTGACTATAAGTTGCTTACATC